CTTTGGGACAATGGGATGAATGTTCCTATTTTTAAAGGCAGCCCCAGAAATGAGAATGAATTATTGAACAGGCAGAGCAAGATCTCTTGCTACATATCCTTCAGACTTCAGTGAACAGTATTAAGGTAATACTCACTTTCTCCCGTCATCACTCCTTGAGTGTACCGCTTTGGCAGCATCCCGGTGTAACCATAGAAACTGGATTGCTGCACTTAAAAGGGGAGAGAGAGTTGAACAAGCAAAAGAGAAGGAGAGTTATGACATCTATGTACTAGATTTCAATTTATGAGATGTCATCTTTCATAAGGTATTCTTCTCCACCACCTCCCTGACTCCTTTTTGGTCAAGAATGACAACATCATTCATGAGTTTCAACCAAGGACATCCTTGTTCCTAGACTGGCTGGGAAAGTTTCTACTCCCATTCCCGCGCATACCTGTGCAACCAAAGGCCACCACGCCCACTGCCATAAGATTGACCGCATAAGCTTGGTGCTGGGAGAAGAGATCGAGCCAGACGTCACAGATGCTCACAAAGAGAAGAGGACCCAAAGCAAAGAGATATCCTGAAATGAATGAAAGAAGCATGCCACAAAAGAAAGACAAGGACACTACAAATTCCAGATGTTTTCCTTCTGACATAAATTTTCCAGCATGGAGATCATTGAGAGGAAGTAATATTAAGGTAACATCTGTATGACTTCCTTCTGGAACATTTGACTGAAACTTTGGAGGAAGACATGGGGAAGAGAAGACATATATAGAAGATTCTACAACTTCCTTGGTGAAGAACAGAAACTAGGAAGTGAGATGGAGAAGACAGAGGGATTCTGAACATACCCACGGTGATCCTGGTGTGAAGACTCAACATTTCGACCAGGACATTGTTGAGAATGACCGCAACCAAGGCTACTAAAATGTAGGTCAGGCTCATGTCAAACACAATAGAGGTCCCTGCAGAAAGATACAACAGCTTGGTTCATACAATTATCTTAAACCAGGGCCTTGCTTCACAAGGATGTGTTAAATTGATTTGAGTCCACACAAGACGCTAAACCAGGGGCTCTTCAAACTTGACAGCTTGAAGACTTGTGGACTTCAATTCCCAGAATTCCTCCTCCAGTCATGTTAGCTCAGGAATTCTGGGAGATGACATCCACAAGTCTTAAACTTGCCAAGTTTGAAGGCTCTTGTGCTAAACCAAGGAAACCAAGAAAATCACAATCCAGCTTGGTGGGAGGTGTAAACAGATGAAAAAAAGGAGGATCAGGGTAGGCATATAAATTTTATAAAAATATAAGAAGGAAAAGTATGCAGTGAAGATCTTTGATGTTCCTTGGGCAGGTTCAACAAAAACTGGAAACTAATGAAGAAGAAGAAGAAAAAAAGCAAGATGCTTTATCAATAATTCAATAATAAATTGATCTTGTCATATGTTAATATATTAATACTATCTTGGGTTTAAGAAAGAGGCATTCCAACCTCAGTGTTCAATTGAACAAGTGGGACTTTGCAAACAAAAATGCACCTCTAGAGAATGGGTGTCCCACATTGAAGACTTGTGGACTTCAACGTCCAGAATTCCATGCTGGCTGGGTAATTCTGGGAGTTGAAGTCTACCGGTTGCAAAGATGGACACCCTGCTTTAGAGTCTTTCAATCCCTAAATCCGTGGTTCTCCTGATATTTTGGACCACAAACCCTTTGTCACTAACCTTGCTAGCCAAAGCTTATGAGAAAGTTGGGACCCCAAAATACACAACCTTCAACTCATGGCGTGTGTTATGTGTCAACTCATAAAATATTTCTATGGTCTTTTTAGAGTTGCCAACAGAAAGGAAGGGAGGAGCAGTGCAGCAGCTTGCAAAACCAAAACCGTATTCCACAAATGTTTTCAAAGATAGTAACTAGGTGACTGAAGTTTCTGCCGTGCAAAATTCTAACTGAAGAGCATGATTGATGACTCTTGGCTATGGATGTGTCCCATTGGAGAATATGAATTACGATACATCCAGGCAATGCCAGACCTTTTAACTCCCAATGAATCCTTTTTGAAGTTTTGAAAGTTTGGCTCAAGACTCATGATTTAAATGGGGTTAAGTGCCGGAATCCTGACATTATGAATGCATATAGAGAATCAGTTACGATGCCCACTTTTAATAGCTTTCATTCCATAAAAGAGTTCCACAAAAAGACTTTCAAATGTTTCGGAGAACTTTGGAGTATTGAAAAAAGACACTTACCTGGGTATTTGTGATGAAGGTAATCAACATCTGTGATAAAGCTGTTGTAAGGCAAAAGAAAACCAACACCTGCTAGAAGCATAGCAAAGTAGATTCCATGGTAACGGTCTTGAGGCTCAGGGTTTTCACAGACTACGCCCAGAAAAAAAAACAGAAAGGTAACAAGTTAAACGAAGCGGTTGCTAAGTGAAACTAAGTGTCAGCTGCCAGCTTGTGCTTACTTGTGCTTCGCTACCACGCGGTGAAAGTCTGCCGTGAACTCCGGGGAGGACGGGATGAGGAGAGGGATGCTTGGGGGAAAGCGAAAGTAACTGCAGCATCTCCCTAAGATGATGCCTCAAGGTCAACCGGCTGGGAGAAGAAAGCAACTGCCTACCAACCGTTCTGAAAGTATCTTGCTTGAACCTGATTGGTCATTGGAGGGGGAGGAGTCTGTGATGTTCAGAGAGGCAAAAGTTGAACTTAGGGATTTTTGGCACGCGATTCTCAGTTCTGGCCATGCGTTACTGCAATATACTTGATACTTTTCTCAATAAATGGAGCCAAGGATCATTTCTACTTAGAGGTATAAGTGCTAGCAGGTCCATGGGTGGGATTCAAATTTTTTAACAACCTATTCTGTGGGTGTGGCTAGGTGGGTGTGGGTTCTTTTTTTTTTGTAGCACCCCTCCCTGGACTCCATTTTTGGGCCTCGTGGGCCTCAGGGAAGCCTCCTGGGGGGTGTTTTGAGTGTGGTGGGAACAGCTGATCATCAGGAGGGGAAAACACCTTAAGGAGTGACTGGGCGGGGGAGAATGTAGCCAGTGATGTCGGGGATGCGTGATGTCACGCATGCGCAATAAGAACTGACTGGGCGGGCGGAGAGGGGCGGGGCCAGCCAGGGGCATGATTTGCCGGTTCTCCGAACTGTGCAGAATCATAATAACCGGTTCTATAGAACCGGTGCAAACCGGTAGAATCCTACCCCTGGGCAGGTCTGACATTACGACTGCTGTTATTTTCTTCCTTCAATTTTTTTTTTTTTTTTTTTTTGCTTTGCCGACATGCAAAGACCGTCAGTTTGTGGATTGGTCACAAAGCTTAGGATTCGCTCCTCCAATCCAACGAACTGAGAACCAGGATCACAAACATCCTGAACGTCACTCTATTCGATCCTATACTTTTCAAACCCTTGGGATTCTTAATCCCAAGCGTAACCACGGCTCTAATCAAAGGCAAGCAGAAAATGAAAATGAAAAGAATTTCCCCAGAACGAACCAGGGGAGACCCAAACTGTCCATTGAACGTGAGAAGCTCAATAATGGTCATTAAGAGAACTTCATGAAGATGGAAGCCAGGTTGGGTGAGAATCACCCTGGGAACTCAAACAGAAGTCTATCCATAGGTCCTTAAGCTGGAGATAGATAGACATGGTCATGTAAGAGAATTACAACATCTAAAAACACTGAAGAACATTTACTTGCTATCCCAAAAACCACTACTCTCCATGGAAACCTCATTTTCAGAGGTCCCAAGCCATCTCTTCAACTTTTACCTGGTTCCATGAACGTGAGGACTCCTTTGGTATGACCTGTCTTCTCCTGAAGCTCTTCTTCTTCCAGCTGGTAGCTGTCAAAACTAAAGCTCATCATGATGTTCCCTTCAGGGGTCACCACTGGACTTCCCTCCTTGAAGTGGTGATCTCCCCCCACGGAGCCCATGGCTGTTGACCTAGACGTTGGAAGAAAAGAGCACCATCTCCATGCATGTTCTTGGTGGGTCATCAGAATTACACACTTATTCTGGAACACTTTTTTGAAGGCAAGTATTCCTGGGTGGAGTTAGCATCTTTCAGCTATTTGGGCGTACAAAGCACCAGAGAAACCTGGTTCTTGTAGGATGTAAAGACTTCGAGATTCCTATCTGTTATCAGATCCATTCTTCCATTCAAGCAACATTTCGAATTTCTACTCTTTTTTTAGGGGAAATATACTACCTTTTTAGTATATCCTAAAATATTTCATTTTCCTAGGAGAGGGGTGGGTTTTAACTCCCAAGAAGCCTAAACAAGGTTCTAGTCCACCAGATGTCCAAAAATCAGAATTTGACTGTGAACAACACATTTTCCTTCTCTGACACTGGAAGCAACAGCCCAACCCTTCCGTTTTTTTCCTACATGCAAATTTTGCACCATTGATAAGCTCGGCACTCGACCAATTTCCTGGAATAACATCTGAGCAAGATTCTGAATTTCTCGGTGCTGACAATAGAGAGCACTGCATCCCGCTTCTCCTACTTCACAAAACCTTCTTTTCGTCTGCAGAGTGGAAAAACAAATAGGCTTTTGCTCTGGGGGAAAATATGGCAAGGTGAAAATTCAAACTCCTTTTTTTGTTTTTTTTTTGTAGCTGACTAGCATCCTTTGATGGGGTTCTCTTTTTCTGGAGATCATTTTCTTTAAAGTTTGAGCTGGTATTAAGAAGACTTGCAGCTGGTATTGTTAGTGGGGTGAAGTTGTGCTTAATTAACCTTATGTTAACTCTTTTTAGTCGATGAGAAGAGGGGGAAAAAAACCCACGAGAGAACACCAAGGACCCCTCCTCGAGTTCTCCTCCTCTTCCTCCTTTGAAACCTGACTCCCTTCTATCGCTGATGATGCTTCGTAGCTGGGTAAAAAAACATCCGCAAGAAAAATAATCAAGCTCAAAGAGCATCAAAGATCCAATACTTCTCCTCCTCCACATTGGAAACCCAACTCCCATGAAGTTACTTACTTGGGTTATGAAACGTCTGCAAGAAAACAACCAAGCTTTAGGGAGGACCAAGGACGCACAGTCCTCCTTCTTCTCTTTCTCCTTCTCCTCCTCCTCCTCCTCCTCCTCATTGCAAACCCAACTCCCTCCTATCACTGATGAAGTTATCTAGTTGGGCCATGAAACATCTCCAAGAAAACAACCAAATTCAGAGAGCATCAAGGACCCACAGTCTTCCTTCTCCTCCTTCTCCTTCTCCTCCTTCTCCTCCTCCTCCACATTGCAAACCCAACTCCCTCCTATCACTGATGATCAACTGGGTCATGAAACATCTGCAAGAAAGCAACCAAGCTCAGAGAGCACCAAGGACCCCACATCTGAAAACCCCTCCTGAGGTTGAGATCCTCGGATCTAAATTCTGGGGCTCCTCCTGCCCCATGTAGAACATGGGAAAGTGCCCTGGTTTGCTCTCCTTTCTGCAATCACTGTCCAAAGACACGTCCTGAGAAAGGTGGGTAGCTGTTTCTTCACCCCCATTTCATTCATCTTGCGCAGAATTGATGGGTCCGTCGCCTTGGCCACCTGGACAGATCCCTTGGCCTCCATCTCTACCCAAACTGGATCCTTTCCCAAAGCTCTCCTGGATGGAACAAAAGGGCCCCGGATTGAGATGGGGATCCTAAAAGCTGGATTTAGGAAGTCTCTCCTGGTGCAACCCAATGGGATCTCTCTCTCTCTCTAGAGATCCTGGAAGGCAATCCAGGGAAAGAAGAACAGGTGTATTTCCCACCCTATTTGCTCTGTGCCAGCTAGGACCCCAACTCCCTAAATTACCAGCCAGAAGGATCCAGACACCTTCTCAAGGGTGCCAGCTTGGAGAAGGCAGGCAGGTGGTCAGGCTGAGAGAGGGGGGGAGCTGGGGGGGGGGGGGGGGCGCTGGGGGGATCTCCACCAAGGGGGCTCGGGTGGGTTTCTCAGAAAAGGAGGAAAGGCCACGTACCCAGGCTGGTACCCAGGCTGTTTTTGCGTATGGAGGTGGGGGATGTTCTCGTTTTCAGGATCTCCAGAGCCCCCGTCCCGTCCTGCCCCTCCAAGCGACCCTCCCCCTCCCTTTGTTTCCCACCCCCCACAAAGGCCAGACCCACAGGATGCGGCGCCAACAGGTTTGCGCGCCCAGCGCCCCTCTTCTGCGTCCCGCGACCCTTTCCTTTTCTCTCCCCCTGCCCCTTCTCTGCCCCACGGCGGCCGGCTCCGGCTCACCTCTGCCCGGGCTGCTGGCGCCCGGCTCCCGGCGTTGGCTCCCGCCTGCTGCCGCAGCGCCGTCCGCCTCCTTCTCAGCGGCTCCCGGGCTCTTTCACCAGCCGGCCAAGCCTCGCTTGCCCCGGGCGACTTTCCATGGGCGCCCCTTGGCTGGTCCAGGGCGCGCTCCTTCTGGGGAGGGGGCGACTGGAGGACGCGCGGGTGTGTGTGTGGGGGGGGAGAGGGACAGCCCCCTGCTCTCCTTCCTTCCTTCCCTCCCTCCCTCCCGTCTTTCTCTTGTCCTCCTCTGACCCGCTTTCTCGTTCTCGCCTTCCTCGTTTGCTTCTTCGCCTAGCCGGGGAGAATCACTTCTCTCTCTGTCTCTGTCTGTCTGTCTCTCTGTCTCTCTCTTTCTTCTCTCTGTCTCTCTGTCTCTCTCCCTCTCTTCTCCCCCCCAAAAAAAAACAGCACCCAGAGATTGCCACCCCCTCCTGCCACCCCAGACAGCCTCTGTCTTGCCCAAGGAAATCCTTTGAACCCAGCAAGCTGCTAAATAGAGATGGAAACCAGAATGAGCTTTTCCCCGCGCAGGGCCGGATCGTGCCATGCAACGGGTTGGTTTCCAAGTTTGATGGATGGGTGGATTGGGGAGGGGGGCGACGGCGACGGCGACGGGTGGGGGTGGGGGGGACAGATTCACCAGACAGCAGAGCGATGCTTTTTCTTCCCCACCCCGCCTCTCGCTTGCAAAGAGGCCGAAAGCCCTCGGCGTGGGGTGCTGCTCCCCATTCCTGGAAGACAGGAGAGGGGTCTCAAACGGCCCAAGGCGGAGGGAAGGAGGGGGGAAGAAGGGGTAGAGTTTTGGGGCTGGGTTTTTGCCCCCCTCCCTCCCTCCCCAATTTTGTCTTCTAACTTCCCTCCTCCTGGGAGAATCTTCCTCCCTTCCTGGATTCCCCCCCCCTCTCTTTCCTGGGAGGAAATTATTCTTATTCTTTCCATTTGGAGAAATAAAGTTATTTTCCCCCCACTCCTGCATCGTTTGTTCAGCTTGCAAACGTCTTACTTCAGACGGGAGGGGGGATGGGGAGGGCAGGAGAGAGGGGGAAGGGTCTGCAAGGAGTAGGGTCCCCCAAAAAGTCAAGAGAGGGGCCACCACGAGGCAAATGGGGGCGGCCTCGTGGGTGAAAAGGAGGGGGGCAGGTTGCAATGGGGAGGCTGGGGCTTCCATTTTAAAAAAAATGTTTATATTTTTCTTTAATAAACATAAAAAGCTCAATATCTATATAAACAGCGTGTTGCCCGAGTACAGTTCGTTTTGAATATCAAAAAGACAATAAACATAGTCGTAGCCACAATATGCATATTGTTAACAACGGTCACATCATATCATTGGCATCATATTTAGCCTCCATCTTGGCTTCCTGGTCAACCCAGCATGGAGGGCCACGCAGCATGAAACGAGAGATTACAAGCCCCGTTTAAAAATGGGCAAGAAGACGCAGAATATTTTCGAACTTGGCACTTGTTTTATCCACGGTTGGATGACGGGGGTAGAAATTAGCAGCGTGGGAAATACTCCTAGGTAGATGAATTGGCTCAGACAGAGCACTAGACACAAGGAGAGTTTTTTTCCGCAAACGCCATCACTCTGCTAAACAACTAACTCCAACAACACTGTCAAATGACTTAGTAAGACTGTATTACTATTCTTCTTCTCATCCTTCCTAGTACCCATCTCTTCCCACTTATGACTATAACCGCGTTGCTTGTATCTTTACAATTTATATCGTTTTGTTTTCCTAGTATGTTTTGATTGCGTATTAGTAACCTGTGTATGATTTGATTGCTTATAGTAAACTATAAATATCACTATAGTGTTGTATCTTATGATTCTTGATGAAGGATGAAGGGAGGAGGAGGGGGAGGAGAAGGAGGAGGAGGAGAAAAGAAGAAGAAAGAAAGAAAGGAAGGAAGAACAATTATTGACAATGTTTTGACAACAATTGCTCTCTTCCAAACCACCATCCTGAGCACAAGGCCTCAGCGGTATCCTCCCTTCCTCCCAATAAGCCACACATCTTTCATTCTGAACGTGTTCCCTGCCATGGTGAAAAATGCAACCGACAAGGATCAGATCCACCACTGAGGCTTTTAAAAAAAAAGCACCTTCCAAATTTGCAAGCAGAATATCAGTCGTTTCTCCTACTGCTGGCCTGGCGGTGGTTTGTTTTACGCACACACACACACACAGACACAGACACACAAAACCTCCTTGTGGCAGCTAAAGTCAGTTGGGCAACAGGCGCTGTTTGTGGTGCAACAAACAGAAGCCACATCTGCTGCTCTCGGAAGAAAGGGAAAGCAGGAAATGAATTACGGGATGGATAAGCCCGGCCGCCTTTCCTGCTCCAAGGGGAAGAGGGGGGAGCGTGATCAGCAGCCGAAGGAGGAGAAAAGCCACGAAATGGAGGGTGTGAGGAGCTAAAGAGAGGCGGAAGGCCTCTGAACAAAGCAGCCACAGGTCATCCTTCAACTTACAACTGGCATTTCTGTTGTTAAGCAAAGCGGTTGTGAAGGGAAACGGGTCCGGATTTTTAACGACCTTTTTGTTGGCGGGGTGGTTAAGGGACTCAAGCAGTGGTCATTAAACAAATCTTCTGGGAAGGTTGCTAATGGGGTATCTCTCTCTCTCTCTCTCTCTCTCTTTCACACACACACACACACACACA